CACAAACAAAAAAGAGGAGGAGACGCTAATCACATACATTCATGTGAAGATAAAGTTTTCTCTATGAAGTCCTGAGAAAAGCTAAGTCCACCCCATGATTCAGTAGTATGCAGAACCACCTTTAGTAATGGTTTTCTGTACTTTATCAGCCGCTCATCATTAACACAACATTGTGGGTGAATTTTGGAGGACTCTTCTTTACAGTGTTTCCATTTATTGAGGTTTGTGGGCATTATTTTTTTGCACAACTCTCATTTAAGGTTCCACCACAGGTTTCAATCGGGTTGACGGGACCATTTCAACACATTGATTCTCTTCTTTTTCAGTCATTCTGTTGTAGATTTACTGCTGTGCTTGGGGTCATTGTGCTGTTACACGGGCCATTTTGGGCCAAGCTTTAGCTGTTAGGGTGATGGCCTCATATTTCACTCTGGAATACTTTGGTATACACAGGAGTTCATGTCTGACTCAGTGACTGCAAGATGTCCAAGTCCTGTAGCTGGAAAACAAGCCAAAATCATCACCCCACCATCAACATAGTTCGAATGAAGCGTTTGTCCCTTTTTTAAAATCTTCACCAAACATGGAGCTATGCATGACTTCCACTATCCAAAGGACATTGCTCCATTGTTCTTGAGTTTTCTCCAGATGCAACTTTGCAAACCTAAGTCACGTTGCCATTTTCCTGGCCGCCCTTACAAACAAGCCGGCACTGTGATGAACTTTAGCATCTAGCATGCTAACTAGCATGCTAACTAGCATGCTAACTAGCATGCTAACTAGCATGCTAACTAGCATGCTAACAGACTCTATGCAAACAGAGTCAGAAATGTAGCTCTTGGATTTTCCACTCCTGGGAAGGCTGTGGTATTGTGTTAACAGAGCTCCAGAGCAGCAAACTGCCAACACTTCTGCTTCCATAGAAGTGTTCACACTTGTTCACGATGAATTAAGTGCATTTGATTAGCAGCACCTGGCTGCTGTTTAGCCTCTTAATATCTATAGAAACTGTAAGGGTGTACTTAGTTTTTCAGGGGACTGCATAGAGCACCATGAAATGTTTTTAAAAAGCCACAATACATTAAAATATCTATCATTCTTACTGAAATTCAAATATGCTGATTAGCCAGAAAAGCATGTTTAACAGTTGTCAGCAGTTTACAATTTACCCAGTGATAAATAAAATACTGAATCCTTGCAATATACAGTAAATTTAACTTAACCCATTTCCAAAGGTAAAAATTAGCATTGAAGCACAGTGTGTTCGCTTGCTAAACCATTGGAAAATTACTTTGGGTCATATACATACACATATATCAGTACTGTTACAAGTATATGCTAAGAAATCTGCATTCATCACAATCATTTTCTGCTTTTCTCTGGACTTTCTGCCGTTCATTATTGCTTTTTTAGATTAGCAGAAACCACGCACAATTTGCATCCCAGCAAGAGCCAAATAAGCTGCACATACCTGCATTTGGTCAGGCTTAATAGCGAAGGAGTTTCCCTATAATAAAAGAAGACAAAGACAGGAGAGACACTTAAACTTTATCTTTATAAATCTAAACTTGATGAGTTGATGATTTTTTGACTTGATAACGAGCCATAAACAATGTTATTTACTAGAATAAAATGATAAATTGCAGCAACACCCTAACAAAGAAAATCTCTCTTCCAAAGACCTGTCTGTGATATCAGATGCTAATCTAAACCAGCCCACTGATAACAATGTGAAAATACAGCATCAGCTTTTTAACATCTTGACACCATTACTTCACGTAAGTAAGGTCTTACAAGAGCCAGGTTCATCCTCGTGGCTTGAAGTGTCCAGCGGGAACCCTGCAATAAAGAAAAGACATCTGTTACTGTCAAATTTGTTTAAGGCACAGCAGATGGGATTTCCTCATTTTCCCTGGAAGGGACAATGATAATAATAATAAAGGGATAGTGTATTTCTGACATCTCCTCTAAGAAATCAGTTTTAAATCAGTCGAATTACAGGAAGAAACGGATACAGGAGGAAAGAGAAACAGGAATGTTGAATGTGGCTTTGAGATTTTTCTATAATCAGATGGTTGTGTTGACTGTTGGTCAGAGGAGAACATAACAGACACTTATGGGATTTTGCAAGAAAGTTTCGCCACAAGACCTTGATCTTGTGCTGACACAGAATGCAGTCTGTCCAAGTAGGAAGGCAACTGAGGCAAGTTTTTCTTTTTGATTAAAAAGTAAGTAAAAGCTGTGACTGTAAATGTTGCTTAAACTGGAAATAAAGGCCTAAATATACAACAGTGGAGCACAATTTAAATAATACTTAAGAATATTTAATCATTAGTTATTATTAATGATTGGCTGTCTTCCACAGTGTGTTTTTTTGTCCTGTCTTCTTCCCCTCATCCCCAACCGGTCACGGTAGATAGTCTCCCTGAGCCAGAGGGTTCTTCCTGTTAAAAGGGAGGTTTTCCTTCCCACTGTCACCAAGTGCTCCTTCACAGGGAGTCGTCTTATTGGTGTGGGGTTTCTTTTTATTATTGTAGGGTCTTTACCTTACAATGATATATAAATAAAACCGAATTGAACTGATGTGCTAATCACATTCCTAGAGCTTATGTTCATTGGGCATTTAACTTTAGTACATGGTGCATAAAGTATGGGGTTTGGATACATAATGCAGAGCAGCCCATTGTGAAGGTTCATATGTCTTTTTCCCAACCAAAAGTCAGTCTTCCCTCTCAATCTCATTCAAAACACACGAGTTCAGACTAACAAAATCAAAAACAAAAGACTGCATCACTGCCAACCTCACTATGATTCACCGGCTACCTGATTCATCACAGCTGATTTAAATGCCTAAATGACATCAACATGTCTTGAAGTTCTCCAGAGGCCTGGTAATGAACTAATCATGTGATTCCGGTGTGTTGACCCAGGGTGAGATCTAAAACCTGCAGGACACCGGCCCTTGAGACCTGGAGTTCTCCACCCCTGTTTTATAGTCTTCCATGGTCTTGCTGCTACCTACTGTCATGGTTCTGGATTTTAAACCCAAGGTTTTGCATTTTTGGACTGTTGTTTTTAAGCTTTTAGTAATGTCATTGAAGGTGTGTTGGTATGTAGTACTGTTTTATATTCTGATCTCTTGCGTAATCTAGCCTTCCCCGTATCCTTTTATGTCTTGATAAGCCTTGATAAGCCTTGATAAGCCTGTCTTGATAGTGGTTTTAACTGCCATAAATGTAAATTATGTCAGTTTGTTTAATTTATTGTGTTCATGTATGTTTATTTCCTTTATTTATTGTTGTTCCTTTTGGGGTAGGAACTAAGGTTCATTCTGTGTTGCGCACAGGCCCCTTTAAGTGACGTAAAGGGAGGTCAAAAGCATGTGCAAAGAATCTAAGTTAATAAGTTAACTAAGTCAGAAGAGGAAATAAATAAGCAGTTTTAAAGTAAAAGAAAGCTGCGAAGAAGAAGAAATTGGGAATTATTTTTGTTAAGTTTTTGTTCCTGAGGCGGACTCATTCCCTCACGGTTACGTGCAGCCAGCGAGGTATGTTAACTGTGTTTGTTTATCG